GAACACAGACAATGAGAGATTAGGTCTAAACTGGATGCTCAAACTTAAAGTCAATCAGTCCCAACTTGTTTGGAAACAGTTTCCGAAAAACCCCTGAACTGCATTCCAGTCGTAATAAGACAGGATAACACAGTGTGTGTGTGTGTGTGTGTGTGTGTGTGTGTGATTCAGTCCTGATGATGATTCCAAATTCTCCTAATAAGACACACATTCAGACTCTTTTGAGTTAATACTTGTATTTACTATATTTGGTTAAAGAATATTTCTATATCTTTAACTAAAATGAGTTTTTATTCTTTCTTGAATAAGCTGCTTTCAAGAAGGATTTGCTTACTTTAAGATTTTACACTTTAATTTAGATTTTCACACGAACAAAAACTTTCTATAGGACAAATTTAGTGTCATTAAATACATGTCTTATTTAGGCTTTATTGATAGGGACATTGAAGAATCACCAAGAAAGCAGAGATAGGGCAAGACATGCAGCAAAGGGCGTTGGTTGAACTTAAATCCAGGTCAGCTCAGCCCTGAAGCATGTGGGCACTTCCTTAACACAGTGACAAATACCTTTCTTAAATTAAAAACTTGTTTAAGTGGCTTTACTCTGGAACTAAGACACAATCTTATTCTTATTTTGGAATTTCAACCAAACCATTGTAAAAACTGTAACTGGTAAATACAGCTCAAGGTGAGCTGAAATATCTTATTTTAAAAAAGTTAGACATATTTTTCTAGAATAAGCTTAATTTTTTGTGCAACACTTTATTGTTAAGAATGGGGTTTTTTTTGACCAAAAATAAGAAAAATATTGATAAACAAGGGTTTTTCACTTTCTTGAAATTTGTTTTTTTTGCACTGTTTGACTGTTTTAGAGGACTACACAAAGTGCATCCCACAATCCTACAATACAGTGCAATACTAGTTCTACATTAATAATCATCAGTGATGTGAAACAACTGCAACGTCAAAGCTCTCTATCAAATATTTTTTATCTTTTTGCCAATAGAGCACACACAGAGCATTTTGACTAACCATACAAACCAGGTTAAATTGAGGCAGTCTGACTCGCTTAAGTTGTGATGCCCAGAAAGTACACACAGCCTGCTGATTAGAGGTGGGAATCACCATACATCCCACGATACGATATTATCACAATACTTAACGCACAATACGATATTATTGCAATTTTTAAAAATATTTTGCGATATTCAGATTCTGTAAATAAAGGTAAACTTTATCAATATTCATTTTATCTAATATCAAAGTCTTGCACTCAGTCTTACTCTCATTTCAGTCATTTTTATTGTTGTACTACAGTCTAGTCCAACTTAACTGAATGCAACCATCTGGTACAATTATAGCTAGTCTGAACTATGCAATTTATGAAAACTATGCAGCCCCTTCAGCAACTGAAGAATTTGAAAGTAAATTAAAACAAAATATAATTTTACATTAAATAAAAAAGTTTTAAACTTAATTAAAATAAAACATGTCTTAAATTAAAATAAGTAAACTGTCATGTTTATTGCTGCCAAAAAAAAGTTAAACACATTTGGACAGTAAAGGAATGTCAGGGTTCTTGCTCAGAAAAAGGATCAACATGCTCTGAGCACAAAAACCTTTTTAGTAACAAAATATCGATTTCTGCTGTCCCTGTATCGATACATTATTAGCAAACAAAATATCACGATACTACACAGTATCGATTTTTCCCCCCACCCCTACTGCTGATGACACTCTCTCTCATCCAGCTGAATCATCTCTGCTCTGGAGTTTGTTTTTCTTCCAAGCACATTTCAGTCTTTCATGCGCTGTTTTATCCTGACCACATGATGACTTTATGAGGAACTGTACAGCTACCGTAGGTGTTGCACCTTGAGGTGACTGATGTTGGGATTTGGAGCTGTATAAATAAAACTGAATTGAATTGCAAAACACAGTTTCAAGTTGACAACGCAGCACTGACTAAACTGATCTGATCACATTTTTAACATCCCAAGTTTGTGCTCAGACAGTTAGACGTTCTGCAGGCTGTTAAACATTTTAATCATAAACTTGTTTTAAAGGGAAAAAAAAGATTTAGCAGATATTTTGAGACAGCTCAGATGCTATCTTTTCTCTGTAAAAAACACTTCCTCTTTTGAACTGTGCAGCAGTGAGGGAGGTGAACTGCAAACCACACGCGGCCATTTTTAGCTCTGTTTACTGTTGCAGGCTCATTAGGAGCTGTGCAGGTTACATTTTAACTTCAGTTTCTTTGTTGCACACTGCAGTTAAAGCAGGTCAATGATCAGGTTTAGTATCAGCCTCTGCATAAAGAAATATGTTTCATTATTCAGTGCTGCAGCTGCTCTCTGAGTGTTTTTCACCTGGTGATGCCTGGAACTGAGATCCGGTGATGAGTTTGACTCTGGAACTGGATCAGCAGGTTTCCAGTAAAACTAGACCTGCATGAACACGCCCACTCGCAGCACTAAACAAATACACATCAAAAGAAAAGAAAACAAGCATAAATCCTTTTTAAATACAGAAATACAATACAGAATCAGAAAAACTGTTTTCATAGTTTGTCTTATTTGAGTGTGTATTAAAAATGTCAAAGTTTTAATATATATATATATATATATATATATATATATATATATATATATATATATATATATAGTTTGTTTTAATATAGCCTGTGCCCTTAATCAGAGTGTACAGAGTGACGAGTTTACTGCAGTCTGACTGAAACACTCATTAACCTGAAGCAGCTGAATCAAAGATCAGCAGTGTTTACACATCAGGCTTCATTTGCACTTTAGACTCACAGAAGAAGGACGGAAACCTTCTTCCTGCCTCAAGCTGAGAAACAGTGGCTGAAACTAACCTTCACGCAACAGCATGAACCTTTTTGCTTCTAGTTACAGTCACAGGCTCATCAGGAGCTACATACTGTAGTTATTGAAAGTCAATGCAGTCAGTTTATTACCAGCTTTTATTGAGTATAATCAGTTCTACAGAGAGGACTTTGTTCAATGAACAAAATGAACAATCAACTGATAAGAAGCCTTTATATCAGGTATAAAGAGATACTTTGGACTAAAAGGGGGAAAATGATTGAATTTTAAATCTTTAGTGCTGCAGCTTCTCTCTCTGTAAGAGCTGAGTTCAGGTGGTTCCCAGTGAGATTAGACCTGCATGAACATGATCATGGCAAGTTATTCTTTTCATATTCACCACTAAAGGAAAGAATCAGAGCAAAAACAAAACAGAAAAAAACAAACAAAAACAATATAAACTGACAGTTTTCCCTTTATTCTCGTGGATAAAAATGATCAGTGTACAGAAGTATTTCAAGAGGCACATTAAATGCTAAAGCTTCACCAGGTAATCATATAACTATTATCACCAAATCAGGATTTTGTTTACAAAACCAATGCTGAATAAAAATGCAGGAAACAGTAAATGCTATGTTTACCTGTAGCTTATGAGGACCTGCTGTTGTTCCAAACATTACATTCATATTAAAAAGAGAATCATTTCATAATTGGCTCACAGTCACTGATCTACTTCTCAGGGTCATGATCAGACAGATCCTCAATCAAACACCAAAACAGCAAATTTAGTGCATGTTTGTGACAGAGAGAGACACAATGCATTGTTCAGACTGATGAGTGAGAATGATAAGGTTATTTATATGTTTAATTTATATTACATTGTGGAACTTCCGTTTTTGTCAATTTTGTTCTTGCATTTTTTCTTGTTTTATTTTTAGATGTCGTAACAGACATTTTATCGCTATATCAAAACATTTATAATGCAATCTTTCCTCATATCTGCTGCTTGTTTTGAGGTGAGAATGATGATGCATTTGTTCCTCAGGTGGTTAAAGTTTATGAACTGTCCTTCACAAAACTCAAACCCATGATCATAGCTACATCTGGAAACCCTGGGTTAACTTAGTAACTCGATGACAAGCTTTGTTTGTCTCCTTATTGCCAATGTTAGAGTGAGTGAATCCATATCAACGGAAAGAATCTCTAGGTATGTTGAACTTTTTTTAATAGTACAGAGCCAAAATGATATTTCAGTATACTGAGTGTCAGCAAGTTGGAACAGCAGCATACTCACTCACCTGGAGGAACAACACTTGGGTTGATGACTCTGATGGTTTCCACAGCTCTCTTGCTTCTTTTTTCCCTTTGCGTGAGGACACAGAACTTGTATGTTGCACTATTAGCACTCGTGACCTTCTTCAGAATCAAAGACACGTCTCTATCCTTCATCTGTCTTTCCTGCAGATCCACCCGGACTTTAAAAAAAATGATAACTCCTGAGTCAGGAAAAGACAACTACAATGCTCATTTAAACTATACTGCTTTAAAATGTGAAGGTTGACGTTGTTAATGTGGGTTTTCTGTGCTTGAAACTACAAGGTGGTCAACATGGACTACAAAAACATCATCTTTGCTTCTATAAGGCTGTCTGCCCTCGGGGCCACTCACTCCCCATTGTCATGTTTTCTTGATGGTGTAAGATGTTTAGATTAATGTGCTTTATGTGCTGAGGTGTTTTTTTACTGACCTCAAGCTGCTCTCCTAGTGGAGCCCAGTCTGGGAAGAACGTTTTTTTTTCTCTCCTGCTGTTCCCAATGTTGTGTATTTTCATTGTTTCTCTAATGCTACCTATTCTGACCTGTCTCCCCCAATTTGATGTTTGTGTAATGTATGTTTGGTTGGAATGTGTCCATTTTTGCTGCAGGCAACTGCAAGTGACAAATAAAACTTATCATCATCATCATCATAAAACATGGTAATATTCTGCTTTTTGCACATAAAAAGATTAACCTGTATTTTATACTTTTTACCCTGCTCTGTGATATATTATATTATTTCCGCCTCATTTAAACCTTCAGACAGAAACCGGTTCCACCTCTGCCCTGAACTCCTCCCATGTTCAGAAAACACTCAGTCACTACTGAAACTGTTGTAGTTTCTCTGGCAGGGTAACAGCTCACAACAGCGTCAGTGCTTCCTTTATATATATATCCTTAGGGGGAAAAAAAGAAAAAAGAAAAAGAAAAAGAAATAGAAGAAGAAGAAGAAGAAGAAGTTATAATTGGAATACACCGAAGACTAATGGAGAGGTATGTCGACTGTTTCCAGGATCGTTTTTTAAATTTTATTGTTAACCGGTTAGACCACTGTGCTACTTTCTAGCTGTTGTGCCCGACAGAATATGAGCGCGCAGCGAGAGCAGATCCAAATAACTCCGCCTGAGAACCATATAGACCTTAAAGTAGTGATGTTTTACTTTTATTTCTTTACATTACTGTTCAGTTTGTGGGTTACAACAGAAAATGACCCAGGATTATCTAAATAAACCGAGGACATTTTACCTGATAATTATTTGTATCATCCTGTAACTTTACTGTATAAATGAGCTAAAACCTCCAAAATTCCAGCAGTAATAATTCATTACAAGAAGTGTTTGTGAACTAAAAATGAAGAACGTGGCATACTGTTTGTCCATGGTTTGGACAGCCCAGTGTGCGCTCACGACGCAGGGGGAAACTACCTGGGTGCAACACCTGCAAACTTGAAGCAAAAGTGACGTCTGGTTGCAGCTGGTCTCGATAAAAAATGAACCGTGGAAGAACACATGGTGGCGCTGTTTCCCGCTGAAGTGTGTTGCTAGGAGGTGGCAGAATGCAGGGCGGTGCTAATTACAGGCCAAAAAGGAGAAAGTTTAGAGCTCAGTCATCACTCATCGTGGTGTCAGGTGTCTCCGACTGAGTCTTTAGGTTTTGTTGAGCCTGTTAGTGCAGAGAGATCATGGCCAGGCTGAACCTGCTCCATCATGCACTCCTCTGGACTCTGATGTGTCTCTTTTTTCTAGTTTCTGCCTCTAAAGGTAAGCAGGTGTTATAATACGGGTGAGCTTAACCATAGTTTTGTCTGACCTGATAAAACAGACCCACATTTATTTGCTTCATACAAAACAATGTGAGTGTTTTATTGAGCAGACACCTGCTTGTGTTAGATGATCACCAGTTAAAACGGTGTGTTAATTGAATACCATGTTAAACACACTGAACATGTGTGTGGGTGAAGGAGAGTGTGTGCTGAGCTGATCGGCATCAGAGAGACGTGTGTTACAGAAACACATAAATCAGTGATAGCAGTGTTGCCTGCAGATGAGATTACCATTTACATTGATGATGTAAATGGTCAACTGGTGATTTTTCTTGGATTGAATGGATGCAGGTTTGGTGACCAGAGGCAGATGTGGGCTTTGACTGTTTAGTTTAACAATATTTGATTAAAATGTGTTTCTTACACTTTTGTTTCCAAAATATATATTTATGTTTTAAATATAGAGCTGTTTAGTCTGTGACACAGTGAACGCTCTGTTATTATACGTCTGTTATTATACGCAGTTATTCCCACACTTTATCCAGAATGCACTTTTAACTTTTTATACTTGTCCTTTTCTGAAATAATGACAGGTTTAGATGTGTTAGCTATTGTTGTTTGTTATTTGCTTTGTGTATTACTAGACACATTAATCATTTTTGCAGTTTATTATTAATTAATTATCTTAAATACTTGTTTTGTCATTTCTTACCTAAAATTAAAAAAAAATTCGGTGAAAATTAACTTCATTTCTTTAAGAAATGATTTATTTGACTTATTGGCGGATGTAGTGTTGAAGGATCTTTCTCATGAAAGATGGATCTGAATGTGACTGAGAAATAAACCTGTAAATTAAAGATGTAATGACAATCCAGGCATTAACTTGAAAACCTGTCCAGGGAGCCATAACCAGTGTTGCCAACTCTTCAGTGAGGAAAATCACTCTTGGCTGTCCTAAAAGTTGCTAGAAGTTTCTAAATGCAATGTAATTGTAACTAACGCTGTAGGAGAGAGAAATAACATCGTGGAAGAGACATAAAGTGAGCAAACAACCTGAAAGCTTTTTAAATATATTTAGAACTAAAATATAAATTTATTTTAGCAATTATTGTTTTTTTAATGTCAGAATTCCAACCCTCCTCCTTTATCCGGGCTTGGCAAAAGAGACCCGAAAAAGTTACTTTGGCAGATTTACTGTTCTTTTTGTGTGTGTTTTTATGTAGTTTTAAACATTGTGATTCACAAAACGTAAGATTAAAGGAAGAACTGGCTGCCTTACATTCAGGGCGGGAGCAGCGGTTTCTTTTATGCATGAATTTGCAATCTGGATGCGTTGGCGTGAATATCTCCTGTACTGACAGCAGCTGGGCGACTGCTGCGTGAGCACTTTGACACAGGCGAGTTGCCCACGACGGCACTTGCTTTTTGAGAGTAAAAGTGATATGCACTTTTACGTGAACAAGTCGTCATAATTCTTACGTCATAATACTTTTTAGAAAAAAAGTCGCTAAGGGGGTCTGGAAACTCGCTAAATATATCAACAGAGTAGCTAAGTTGGCAACACTGGCCATAACTGTGCGATAACAAACACCAGAGTGATCTAGTTCAGCATCCAGTGTGAGCTGTTCTTCCTCTGGTTGATCAGAAATCAGTGGTCTCTGTTTGTAGCTCACCATGATGATCAGTGCTGCAGAAATAAGTAATTGCACTTTGAATCTTTGACCTCTCCATGTTTATTTTGTTTCCTCTCTTTCAGGGATAAACACCACAGCTGGACAGGACGTCACTCTGACATGTCGAGCTCCAAACAACAACAACATCATTGTTGTAGAGTGGAGCAGAGCTGACCTGGAGTCAGAATATGTTCTTTTGTATCAGGATGGTCACTTTGTTCCAGATTACCAGCATCCATCTTTTAAGAACCGGGTGGATCTGCAGGACAGACAGATGAAGGATGGAGACGTTTCTTTGATTCTAAAGGATGTGACGATTAATGACACTGGAACATATGAGTGTCGTGTTGCCCAGAGAAAAGCAAACCGCAAGAAGAGAGCTCATCTGAAGACTGACCCCATCAGCATCATGTACCTGAGAGTTGTTGATCCTCCAGGTGAGTGAGTAGAGTTGAGTGTGTGTGTGATCAGAGGTGAAGCTGCTTCCTGGTTGTTGATATTTGTTTCTAAAGATGTTGTTGATGAGACTTTGTAGAAAGCAGCTGGTCTGAGTGATGTGATCAGAGTGCAGTAGATAATGTCTGACAGCAGTTTGAAGAGGAAATGGATTCTGTTCTGTTCTTCACTCATCACCTACCTGACAGCTGACACCTCACACCTGTTTCTCTCCTGCAGGTCAGACAGGAGGACACACAGAGGATGGAGGGAAGGAGGATGGAGGGAAGGAGGATGGAGGGAAGGAGGATGGCGTTAATAGACATTATGGGCTGATAGCTGGTCTGATTTTTGTTGCTGCTGTTGTTGGTTTTTTGATCTACAGAGCACATCAACAACAGAATCAAGATTCATTTCAGCCTCCAGGTGAATAGCAGCCTTGTTGTTACTACTGAAGTCTTCATGACTGAGACTGTACTTGACATCAGTCTCAGTCATGTAACCTTGAATTTTGATGATAAGTTCAGAGCTAGCTGGGAGCTTTGTCATCTGTTTTGTTTTTAGGTGATGAGGCAGAAAATTTCAAATCAGTTTCCTATTTCAGTCCTAAAATCAGTGAATTATGACCCTGTGATCAAATGAATGTGTTATTTCTGTCAGATTCTATTATTGTCTAATCTCAGAGGTTAAACTGAAGTCCACAAGTGTTTAATGTGATTGTGGAGCACTCTGACAGAACTTGAAACATTGTGTATTTATTTGTAACTATTTATATATAATATATACATGTAACTATTTATATAGTATTTATATATTCACAAAAGCACACATTTCTTCTCAGCTATTGTCAAGTGTTTAGTCTTACTTTACTTTGTACTGTACTTTACTCTTAACTCTGAAGTGCCCTGAGCTGTCGTGGTCCTCAGTATAGAGAAGCAGGTATAAGGGCTTCCTGGGTCCCACAGACAAAAAAGAATAAACAAATTAAATTGCTGCACATTTTTTCTGACACACGCACCGGAGCATCAGCTTCAAAAGGGCCGTTACTAGTTTCTAGTTTTTGCATTTGAGATTTCAGTTTGTTTTTGTAAGTCTATTTTCGATGAAGAGTTTTCCCCCCCAGCAATAAAGCTGTGCTTTTAGTTCATCCTTCTCTCCGTGAGTCTTGCATTTGGGTCTTTTCTCCTTCCTGCCACACAGCACATCAGGCCATGAGCTGACCCATGCTGTGGTTTTTACACTGTAAAAGAAATAGTTACTTAACTGATTCTTGTGATTTGTAATCAGATGAAGTGTTTTGTAAGTATCTGAAGGTATCCTGTAACTTAAGCTGACAGATTTGTGCAGTATTGGCTCTAAAATGACTTATTGTATGAAATCAAGGATCTATGCTTTTGTTTATGTTCAGAATTCTTACACAAAATGTGTTTGATTGATTCTATAAATGGATGAAGATGTTTTGAATGTTTGATCAGACTTTGAATGAAATTTTTAGCATTAAAATATATTTACTCTATACTTGATTGTCTGTCTTCATTTGTAATGATGCTGAACGAGTTTGAAAGAAAAACACACAAATGGAAACAGGCAGACATCTCTTCATATCTGATCAAGAAAAGCTTTTAAATCAGTTGTTTGTGGAGTTTTGAACAACAAATAAAGAGTCTTTTTCTGTGGGATCTAATTAGATCGTCTCTTGCACACAGTCAATATGATTAAAAACTGTGAACCACATTTTAAAGACACTCTGTTAATGAGGTGATTCATATCTGCTGTAAGACCTTACTTCACTCCAGTGTATCGTTTTGAACATAATCTGATTACAAGACAGCTTAATCACAGAACAGTGAAAGAAAATAAAAACATCTGATCATGTTAACATAAACAGTCCACACTCATAAAGATTTGAGACTTTGACTCTGCTTAAAATAGAAAAAGAAGAAGCTAACTATTTTCTGACAGCAGGAATAAAATCAGCTCTCTGAAAAACACTCATACCACAGCTTTCCTACATTTTCTTCCTACATCCAGTCAGAGAGCGTTAAGGTTTGAATTCAGCTTTAATTTTCTTTCTTGGTTACATTCTGTAGTTGATAATGATCAACATCTAAATGAAGGTTATACATTTATATACAGTGGAGGAGAAAGGCAGTTGAAGCTAATCACACCATAAAAATTTATTTTAGAAACCGATGAACATTGACTGGAATTGTCAGTTTGGAAAGTTCCTAACAGTGACTCCGGCACCTGAATGCATTCCAGTCAAGTTCAGATGTGTTTACTGTGTGCGTGTTTGTTTCTTTACATTTCCCCCCATTCCTGTCCTTCCTGAAACTCGTCATATCAAACAACATTCTTGCTTATCAAACACAAGGTAGGAGCAGTGCAACAGTCATAAATGTCAGAGGATTAGGATCCAGGATCCTGAATCCATAATTAAATGACAGTCCTGTTCACACAAGCTGCCTCATGGTGATTAAATCTGACCTCTGACCTGCAGAGGATCCTAACGCTTCAACTGTTTCTCTTGTATTGAACTCATTTGTTAAAACTGATTTTCTTTCTGCATATTAAACTGAGAAAACCTGTAGTGAAGCTTCTGATGGCCAATCTCAGACATACACTGTGATTTTTATGATATTAAAAAGTTTTCAAAGGACTTAAATCACAAGAAAAATGATGGTTTTCCACCTGTTGTAAACTGTAGATGCTCTTTCTGGGTTTTTCTTTTAAAACAAAATGTACTCTGATTTCTTTGTCTCTAAAGCAGGAGATGTTTTCTCCTTCTTGTAATTCATAATAACTTGTTTGAATAACCACTGAAATCCCCCTGGATCCTCTTACTTTCAGTCATTTGTTGGATTGTTTGTTTCCAGTTTAACCTGGCAAAGACTCTTGATGAGTGAGTGAGTCATAGTTAAAACACGCTGCACTACACTACACGAAACACACCTATTTTTCCTGAGTGCATTATGTCAGATACAGGGTGTGTGCTAAGAGGTTATATCTATTTAAAGCTACTTGCAGTTGCAGTGACGGGTGTGTGAATGACACTTTAACAGCACCTGTGATCTCTTAATATTAAAAAGAAAATATATATTATATCAGACAGTTTAAAAATTCACTGATTTGTAGTAAGAAAATTAGCCCCTTTAGTTTTTTCTGCTGCCTCTTAACAGAAGAAGCTTCTTTTCTTCACAAAATACTATAAATAATTGCAATAAAAATCCATTTTATTTCCATAAATATGTGAGAGAGAAAACATGTTCAGTGTTACGCTGACCAAGAGTTTGTCCGTCCTTTGATTGTCTGAGTGCAGAGCTTTCCAAGTTAAATCAACTTTAACACAATACAATAATGTGACAATATAAAGACAGAAAAAGCAGAAGGATAGAAATAAAGCCCAGAGTGGGGTAATCGTACGCTTTTCTAAATACAAGGAGAAAAAAACTATACAGACAGTTTGTAGTTCTGTACCTCTTATTGCACTCATAGTATTGCACATTTTTCACAGTGTTGCACATTTGTTACACAGATTTGATACACAAGTCTGTTGTGAGTGTATTGCCCATTGGTCAGTGAACCGATCATATATTCAAGTGAAGTTAAGTAGAGCTGCGTTATTTTAAGTGTTCTATGTTTTTTGTTTGCCATCAGTCTGACTGTGGAGTATTCAGTGTTGTGTGAATGTTTCAGTATTTGCCACCAATCTGACAGTTGTGGGGAAGAAGCTATTGAAGAATCTTGTTCTGTGTGTGATGATGCTGTCCTGTTGTGTCTCAGATTGTATGTGCAGTTTTTTTGTCTGAACAGAGAGTGAGCTGGATGGTGTGAGTCTCTGAATCTCTCTGCTCTTTTTTTGGCAGCGTTGAGTGTACAGAAGGTCCATGGAGGCAAGTTTTGTTCCTGTGATCCTCTCCGCAGACTTTATGACTCTTTGCAAAGCCTTCCTCTCAGTCTGTGTAGTGTTCCCATACCAGACCGTGATGTCTGCGGTGAGGATGCTCTCTATCAGTCCTCTGTAGGGCTGGGTGAGAGGGCTGTGGTTCATGCCAGCTTTCCTAGGCAGCAGAATGAAATAAAGCCTCTGCTGTTTCTTTTTTTCCACTGTTTACTGTTGTGTTGAGAGTCCAGCTCAGGTCTGATGCAACCTGCAGTCCCAGGAATCCGTGGGTGTTTGCCCTCTCCACCTCTGTCACTTTGACGATAAGAGGTTGCAGGGGAGGGGTTTCTTCCTAAAGTCCAGTATTAGTTGGTCTTGTCCGTGTTGAGGATGAGGTTGTTTTCCACACCATAGACACCATGGCGTCCTCCCATTCTCACCACCTGTATTCTCTGTCAAAAAGTCCAGGATCCAGTTGCAGGTGGGAGTTGGGATGTTGAGGTCCTTCAGTTTCTCGATCAGCTTACCCGGGCAGATGGTGTTGAAAGCAGAGCTGTAGTCCAGGATATCCATACCAGCACCATCTTTAAATCTTGGGTAAGGTGTATTTATATTTTCACTGCTGCACTGCAAACAGTAACTACTGATAATTAATTCATCAAACTTTATTTTCCACATTTTAAACAAATAAGTGTAACACAGCGTTTCTGTTGCTGCCACAGACTAACTCACTCTGAGTTCGGAGCAGATAGAAAACAACAAATATCAATAAAAACACAATCTCAGACCGAGAGCAGCACTAACATCACTCAGTTGCTGGAAACTTCACACAGAAGTTTAAGAAGCTTGTATGTGTCTGTGTACAGAAAGTTTAGATTCAAGGAAATGAAATATGTGAGACTTTAGATGCTGATATATCTAAATCCGTCTCCATCAGTAGGTAATTTTCCTCATTCAGTCTGATGATGATGATGATGATGATCTCTGTTTCAATTCAGTCAAAATTGGGGCCAGCTTTTGTGGCCATAACAAATGCTCTCTAACATGAGTCATGTGTTTCTGAAAGAGGAAAAACCTCTACTGAAAAAAAATTATGAAAGAAATTAATTAGTGTTTATCGAGGTGACATTTTGCTGTGGGAAATTTTAAATAACCAGTAAAAATGTCTCAGAGTAGCATAGTATTATATTAAAGTGATCTCCTGCAGCCACATTGATGTTGTATAAACAGTCAGTGCTGCAGGCATTTATTTTATTTTAATTCATTTTAATTTTTTGCAGCACCAAATGTGACCCCTGGGACCTGTCATATGACTTGATTTCAGTCACCTGGAAGTAAACCATTCATACATATTTGAGAATCAATCTGGAATAAATCCTTAAAGAAGGGAAAATCTAAGATTAGACACTGGTTCAGGAGGAAAAGTGAGACTTGCATTTAGCAGCAGCCTGTATGAAAGCTCGCTTGCATCACTTGTTGCTTTTTTGTGTACTTCAGTTTTCAAAGCACCTCCTTGTGTTTTCATCAGTCACTGATTACACTCTCCTTGGTGTATGCCTGATATTTCTTTCAGGGTTTGACCTTAAAAACATGAGGTAGGAAGAGGTTTGAGCTCTACATGTTTATTACTATAGGTACGAAGATGAATATCATCTGTTAAATCCAAACAATTATCTGTCTGTAGATGCAATCAAGTCATTTTTGTTCCTAAACTGTCACCAGGATCTTTCCAGCCGCTTTAATTATATACAGTAACTGGTCAGTTCACAACTAACTGTAAGTAGTTGCATTGCAGCAGTAACCACAGACTGTGAAAACAAGTAACGACTGCTTAAGGGAGCTTTCTATTTTCAGAATTAGCTAAATTTGTATTTACATTTTCACCATTAGGTGGCAGTGTTTGACAGGAATGTGTTACTGTAGAAAGAAACAAGAAATGCAGTATTTGGGTTATATAAGTTATGCAAAACAGAGCGTGCCCACTCCGACCGGTTTTAAAGGGTTAAGGCTGAGAGGCTGAGTGCAAAAAGTAAATACTGAGGGTGCAACATCCCCTCCTTCATAACCAGAGCCAAGCGAGCCCTCATGTCCAAAGTCACAAGTGCAAAGTCAAGCCAGCTACACACAGATATTTTGTTACAGTTTTCTTCTCAATAACACACTGCTGGTCCTGACATCTTAGCAATTATAATACTTTATCCTCCTTACATCACACTTTGTATATTATAAAAATATCATAAAAGATTCTTTAAGAGGTGACACCAAATTTCCAGTTAATTTTCTTCTCACAGTACTGCACGTGTATCATCAGAAGCAGTGACACTGTTGTTCTGATCAAGAATATTTCATTTATTACAGTAAGTAACTTCTTTTTTTATAGAGCAGGAATCAACTCCACAGCTGCCAGATGTTTACAGACTGTCGTCAAAAGAAGCTACACAGGGGTAAACATGGCTCTGTCACAGTTTTCAGAGACATGTTTCTCCTATTATATTAAAAATAACTGCTTCTTTTTCTTTCTTATATTTGACATATTTGACATGTTTCTATGCTCTGCTGTGTACAAAATGAGGGTGAAGCAAAAATGATCCACTTTACATTAAACAAGACA